ACTTGTGAGCATTTTCGAGATTTTATATAAACTGGAAAAAGTCTTGTTTTGACATCCTCTTCAAGTTTTGTTAAGGTCTCATTTCTTTTTGGGGTCATTTTCCCCCTATGCATGCTTCATCCCTTCATGATTAAGGCTATGCATTAGAGCACTTGCATTGGCCATGGTTTGGCCTCTTAGCCACTGAAATCCAATGGATTTTTAGTGGATTTGATGCATTTTTGAGGGCCAAAATTAGAGGGGGGTGACCCCTTCTGTCCTTGTCTTGTTTGGTGGTCTTTTGGGCCTTCCAAAGGGGCTTTATTTTGCATGCATTGAAGTCACTTTTTGGGCCCAATTTTGTGGGTTTTAAGGTCTGCCTTGGCTCTGTCCAAGGCCCTTTTGGCCATATTTTATACCTACAGTGCATGTGTAGAACAATTCAATTCAAGGCCTCTTGAGGGGGCCTTTCTTTGCATGTTTCCTAGACTGATTTCAGGGCCTATTTTGTGAGTTTTAGGGCTTTCATAACTCATTTCCATAGTTGGTTTGGTCATGCTAAGTGTCTATCTTATATGTGCTTAACAACCCTTACAAGGCCCTCCAAAGAAGCCCCTTATTTTTGCATGCATTGGCTGAATTTCAGTGATTATTTTAGGCATATTTTGGCATGTTTTATTCACTATTTTTGGCTGGTTTGATGAGTTCTCATTTGCTTCATATACATGCCATGTAAACCATGCTTTCTAGCCAATGTTGCATGTTATTTTAGTCCATCATGTTAGCATCTTTTGGCCATGCTCTAAAATGGAAATGTGCAAGTTTTGGGACTTCCTTGGCTCTGTCTTTAGACTTCATGATCAAATAATGCTTGCTTAGTATACTTGTGGTTCAATGCATGTGCCTAGCATTGAGTTTCGAGGCTTATTCCAAGCATCGGGTGCCATATTTCCATGTTTTGGGATCATTTAGCATCATATTTTAGTGCTGGAAATTACATGTTCATAGGCCATCTTTCATCCCTTGCCATGCTTTGGTAGAGTGGCATTTGATGCCTTAGGTTCGGTTCTCGGTATGCGTGCATGTGTGCACGCGTTTCGGTTGTCTCATTTTCATCTAATGGCCACTGATGTGAGTGTGGCTGAGGTCCACTCATGTTGGTATAAGTCCATTATGCATTGTGCATCCCTTTTCAATTCATAGCATTGCGTATGCTAGGTTGCGTGTTAGAGCTTTGTGTATGCCATGTTACATCGAGCATTGTGTATGCCATTTCATAGCATTGCGTATGCTAGGTTGTATGTTAGTCGCATTGTGTATGCCATCTCATTTGCATTGTGTTTGGGATAGGAGTTAGCCCAAGCACGGGGAACGAGGGACGTTTCGTACTCCGAGTGACGGAACGTGTCTCAATTCCTTGTCACCGAGACTCTGGATTACCCATGATGGAGTTTAGGTCTTGTTGTGTTTTCATGTGCATTCATTTCACATCGAGTCGTACAATTCGACTCCTCGGCCATCATGCATTGATATGCGTGATTGGTGGCACGAGGATCGAAGACTACACTCCTTGAAGAGTAGTCATGCATACATATGTGAAATACTTTGCCATGCCCCTTTCTTGCTCTCTGTTGCAGCAAATCAAAAATCAGCAGCTTTCTAAAGCCTTGCACAATATTCCGACATTAATTGCAAACAGAGGCAAACCAGGGCATCGTAATGGATTTCTACGCAAGGCAACTCGAGCATGCATCATTCATCATGTAACGTCCTCAAAATAATAACATTAATCCATCAAATAAGACATGCATTGGCATATTAAAATAACCACATTCTTTTATATATCAGAGTTTCATACAAAAGTATTACATGTTAACAACAAAAGCAAAATGCCTTACAGGCTTACAGCTTTCCAAGTTAACACTTGGTTACAACAAAAGAGTTCTAACTCGTTTCCACATAAAGCCCTTGGCTTGAAATTACATGTAATACATCAAAAAGATAACGACAAAAGTATGTCCGCCTCTAGCCTCCCAAGCTATGTCCTTGGAGGTGGCATGCTACCTGTACCTGAAAATGATATTCCCATATAGGGTGAGCCACAGCCCAGTAGAAATACACTAAACCAACCATGAACAATGACTAAAAGATTAGCAATTGATAGATGGCCAACACTAATACATAAAAATTATATATTCTTGTAGTGAATGAAAATGTGTATATTTCGTAGTGAGCAAAATATTAAGTTGGCCTATGTGTCTAGGGTGAGCAAAAATTATACATGTATGTGATTTTGAGAAAAATGGGTGAATGTAGGAATGAGGTGTGCATCACCAAATTAAGTTGGCCTATGTGTCCAGGGTAAAAGTCCTGAAAAACGCGCACATACATAGGTGCCAATTTCTGCGGACGAAATATCCGTAAAATGGTAATAGTAGGGCTTGCATAGCCTACGTTTACATGGGTCCCGTTTGACGGTTTCCCGCGGACGAAATATCCGTGAAAGGCTATACGAAGTTGAGTTTCCCCCTATTTTCTATTTTAAAGGAAATGATTTGGAGAACTATGACATAGACCCAGCATTATGTGGCTTTTGGGAAAGATATAAATTGTTTTGTCATGAGCATTGCATATACATTTTACCCTTATATCTTTATTAAGATTAATATATTGTGTTGGATTATTTCTACTGGGTTTTGGCTCACCCTATATAGGAAAAATATTTTTAGGTATTGGTGAGATGCCTTCGCCAAGGTAGTAGCTTGGGAGGATTGAAGCAAGAGCTTCATTTTGTTTACTTCTTATTATTAAGCCTAGGGCTTATTTTGTATTGAATTTAAATCCGTTGTGATGTAATCAAGTACTGTCTAGGAAAGTTGTAGCCTTCAAGTAATTTCAATTATCTATTTAACTTCTATTTCATTTCTTTGTTGTTGACACATGCTATAGATTCAAGGTTATGACTTATGAATGTATATTCGCATGTGTCACCCTTTTGTACAACCAAATCTTATGTAATAGAAAGATATTATACTTTGATGTATATTATTATTTACTTATCGTTGTAGATGGTTTATGGCATTATTTTGGGACGTTACAACTTGGTATCAGAGTGTACCAGGTTTGAATACTAAAGGTATGTGGGAAGTGGTTTTTACCACAATGGGTTTATCTCGTTTGATAGAGATGTTTGTATGTTTGTAATGCTATGTGATAACACGCTTATGTGATTATATGGGTATGAGATTTAATTCCTAAGATATTGATTGGGTCTACGGATTTTTAGAAGTCCTATTAGAAGAGTACTTGATCACTATTGTTTCTAATTGGCGTAACTCACAGACTCCCGCTCGAGCGCCAACAATCCCGCTCGAGCGGCGAATACACACTCCCAGAACTTCTGCAGAACCAGGTCTCCGATCGAGCTCCCAACTCCCCGCTCGAGCGGCACTCACGTAACCCCGCTCGAGCGGCCAATACCACGCTCGAGCATCCAACACTGCACAGAAAATACTGGATGGGTGTAATCCCCGCTCGAGCGCCAACACCCCCGCTCGAGCGGACAAGTCAAAATCTGGGCAACTAGTTTTGGTTTCTAAACTCAACCAACCTGTAACAAACCTGCCCAACATATCCTATAACTCAAATACGAAGTAAAAAGGATGCAAACAAGATAATAAACAACTACCCTCAACCACGGACACATGTCCAGATCACTGTACAACAAAGGTAAACCCGGGATCGCTATACATCATTTGGATCAGAGCTGAGGCGGTCCATGGATTTGCGTGCCAATTTACCTGCTTTCCTAGATTAATTTGTTAATTAATTAGGGTTTTCTATTTATTCAGACTGTATTATTTATTCGGACTGCATTATTCTTTCAGACCCTCCGAGCGAGGGCAATGTTGTAATACGTGTGCGTGGGTGTGATGTATGTCTTCCAACCCCACGTCTTTCTCCCTTTTATTTACTAGCTTATGATGGTTAGATTAGGGCATGTTTCAATTAGCATACAGTATGATAGCATGTTTGCATCATTTATCTGTATTGCATGCACCGGGCTCGGCGCACCATACTAATTGCATTGTATTTCGATTCCAAATTGAATATTTTTTAGTTGTAGCATTTCATATGCCATCTTTAGAATAGCCGAGCCTATCTTAGTTACATTTTGCATGTGTTGCATTAGGCATTTTTGTATAGTTAGGATCACGCATGAATTTCTAACATAGCTTTTGTTTTGGCTTGGAGTACTTGGTAAGTTTTATGCTTTAGCATCCTTACATGCGTGTGAGTGACTGCCATGATAGCATGCTTACCATGAGGCTATTTGCTTATATGATATACCTGCCTGAATGCCTGTGGGTGAAGGTTGGGTTATTTGGATTGGAACAATTCATTAATTGTGAGTTTTAAGCCCACTAGATAGTGGCAAAATCTTGTTTTCTAAGCCCATCCGAGGGTGGCAAATCCACGTCTTAGCCTACTTGCGGGTAGCACCATCAAACCATTTTCAAAGTAAACATGAGATGCTTTGTTCCAATTCAGGCGACCCAGTCTATACTTGTATCTGGTAAAACAGTCCATGTTTGGCACTTCTTTCAAAAAATCTGTTTTAAAAAACGATTTACCAGATTTGGACTCTTTGATGATTCATCGGTCTTGCATTGCACTCTACGAGATTAGATACAGGACCGTGACATTGAGTCCTGAACTGTAGTGAGCCCAATGAACAAAACGAAAGGGATTTCCTCCCGGGACATTTCCTCCCGGGACGTTCAGGGATGTCTACAGACCACAATACCAGTTTTGGCTTTGCCTAATTATACTAAAGAATTTGTGGTGGAATCAGATGCATCGGGAAAAGGCTTAGGGGCTGTGTTAATGCAAGAGGGACATCCGATAGCTTTTTGGGGGAAAGGCTTATCTGCACGGGATCAACTTTTATCTACCTATGAAAAGGAATTAATGGTTGTGGTCTTGGTTGTATTCAAATGGTGGCATTACCTTTTGGGTAGGAAATTCCTTATCAGAACAGATCACCAAAGCTTAAAGTACCTATTGGAGCAAAGAGTGGGCACTCCATTCCAACAGAAATGGATTACTACATTGTTAGGTTATGATTATGAGATCGTTTACAGATGTGGAAAGGAGAATAGGGTAGCAGATGCCTTGTCTAGGAGGGCGGATGCTACAGATAACCCTGCTACTTTGCATGCTATCACTTTTGTGTCTACTAGTTGGTTAGCTGAAATTAAACAAAGTTGGATATCTAATCCATTGGTGCAATAGGTCATTACTGATTTGATTCTTGATCATACTTACCATATGGGCTATCGTTGGGAGCAATGGATTCTGACTTGTAAAGGCAAATTGGTGGTAGGGAACATGCCTCAGCTTAAGATCCAGATTATGGAGGAATTTCATTGCTCTGCAGTAGGTGGGCATTCAGGGATTGATAAAACCACTAAGAGAATTCAGAGAACTTTGTATTGGAAAGGGTTAAAGAAAGATGTTTTGAAGTTGGTTTCCGAATGTGACATTTTTCAAAGGTTTAAGAGTGAAAATGTGAAATCACCTGGATTGTTATAGCCTCTTGCTATTCCCAATCGATTTGGTCTGATATCTCTATGGATTTTATTGAGGGCCTTCCCAAATCACACGACATATCTGTTATATTTGTGGTCGTCGACAGGTTAACTAAGTATGGCCATTTCATGGCACTTTCACATCCATACACAACCAAAGATGTTGCTCAAGTGTTCCTGGATCAAGTTTACAAATTACATGGACTGCCTCCATCTATCGCATCCAATAAATATCAGTCTTCACTAGCAATTTCTGGTATGAGCTTTTTACTTTGCAAGGTTGCAAATTGTATTTAAGTTCCGCTTATCATCCACAAACTGATGGCCAAATAGAGATCTTAAACAAGTGCTTGGAGAACTATTTACGATGCATGACAGGTGATTGTCCTAGGAACTGGGCTAAGTGATTTTCTTTAGCTGAATGGTGGTACAACACTTCCTACCATTCAGCCATCACAACCACTCCATATTACACTGTTTATGGCCAAGATCCACCAGACCACACCTTTATTGCTTCCAACCTCTATGCTGTGGCAGAGGTAGATAATTGGATACGTGAAAGAGCTTCAATTCTCAGAATGTTAAAGGACAATCTGCATCAAGCTCAACACAGGATGAAGCATTATACTAATATGCATAGATCTGACCGTGAATTTGAACCACATGACTGGTGCGGCTGCAACCTTATAAGCAGTCTACTTTGGCATTACACAGGAATATGAAGCTTGCTCCTAGATTTTATGGTCCATTTCAAGTTGTGGCAAGAATTGGAAAGGTTGCTTATCAGCTCCAGCTACTTGTTTCTGCCCACATCCATCCCGTGTTTCATGTTTCTTTGTTAAAGAAAAAGTTGGGTCAGCACATAGTCGCACAGCCTACATTGCCACCAGTTGCACCTGATGGTACTTTCCAAATAGAACCTGTGGCAGTGTTGGACAGGCGTATGGTTAAGAGGAACAACAAGGCGGTGGCTCAACTCCTCATTAAGTGGTCTCACCCATTTCTAGAGGATGCTACTTGGGCGGACTACCTGGACATCATCACCAAATATCCCCATTTCCAGCCTTGAGGTCAAGGCTATTTGTAAGGGGTGGGAAATGCTATGATTTATGAAGTTTTGGATTCAATTAACTCAGTTGGCAGCTGAAATTCAGGAATTCAGTTTGAGAGGGAGAATTAGATTGAGAGATTGTTTGATTATTGAGGGGTTAGTTAGTTAGTTAGGAGGTTTGTTAGTTAGTTAGTATTGGATAGGGTTATTCTAACTGTATATAGCTACGGTTGAGGGGGGAAATGGGGGATCTTTTGAACTGTAATCAAGTTTTATGAGAAAAGGGTGAATGGACTCCAAATTTAGTTTTCCATTTTCTCTCTTCTTTTTCTTCAATTACTGCTTTCTTTTTTCATAGTCATATCAATTAAATACTCACAAAATTGAAAAAGAGAATAGCAAATCTGGACAACCAACCCTCAAATCTGCAAGAATCAACCTTCAAATCATTGACAACCTTCACAGATCTGATGGGGAGAGAGAGAGAGAAAGAGAGAGAGAGAGAGAGAGTGATCGAGATTGAGAAAAAGGTTTTGAAAAGGGGATCTGAGTTTAAGAGAGTCTGGAGTGAGATGATTTTGAAAGGTCTCAAAAGGCGAGAAGGTTTTAATATGAAACGGCGTGATCACTACATAGCTAAATGACATCGTCTGGCATAGATGTAAGACAAAGTTTACAAAACGTTATGCTTGACTAATCAACAAAGACGTTTCAAAAAACGCTATGTTATAAATGCCGTGCAATGTTCTTTTTTTTATAGTGAATGTTACGTATTTTATGGTATTATTACACATTTTGTGGTTAGAAAATGCTCAAAATAAATAAATAAATAAATAAATAAAATATGTGTAACATTACCACCCTACCACAGAATGCTTAACTTTATTTCTGAACTACAAGTTAACATAACTCCCTACATTTACTACAAAAATACATAATGATAAGACAATACCAATCTTAATTTTATTATTACGTGATAAACATTTGCAAGAAACACTAGTTTATATAGCATTTTTTCCCCCTAATATGTTGTTGTGTAAAAGTTACATTTCATCTTCTCTTTGTTTTTGGATTGGTGAGAAAGCTAATGATAAGACAATACCAATCTTTTAGAATTTATTTATTGATATGTCTTAGACTATTTTTTCCCTTCAAAAGTAAGCTTTTGCAATTTTAAATGTAGGATGATATTTTTTATTTTTTTATTCAATTTTTTAAAAATTTAAATAATTAGACTACAATAGTTGAAAAAATATTGTCTTAATCTTTGTACGAACATGATTTTACACACATGAATAAAATGTAACTAGAAATCTCATTATTAGCCTTTAGCTAGTAAAACAACGCCTACAAGACAAAGACGATGAACTAATCTGGCATAAATGTTTCAGAAAAGCCCCTCTCTGATGGCTAAGGCAAAACTTGGGATCAATAGGGAAAGGAAAGAGGGATTTAGGGTTATGTATGCGTGAAAGAAATCGAATCCTATATATTTTGATCTTGCTTGCTTTTATAGCTTTTCCTTATGTGGATTGGCATAGCCCAAACAATATTTATGAGGACTTTCTGTTAAGCAAATAAGCTTATCCAAACTCCCTAGAGTCATGCACGCAATCAACATTTACATTTCAAAATAAGCATGGTGAAGCTAGCTGGCAGTTGATGCTCGAAAATCTGATCGACCACTTAGCTCATACAAGCCCTACGCGTAAATGAAGTAGATATATTATCAATTCAAAAATATGTATTGTAAATATTCAATTAATAATTTCTTATCTCAAAAACCTAGAAAATAAGTTTTGAATAATATTAAAATGTAAAAAGCCCCATTTTAAGTTATTATTTTAGACTTCAAATTATTTTTAACAAACTCCGCTTTTGAATATTTTATGATTCATTTATACATACGTAGAAGTGATGTTCCTTCAAAATTCTCTCATTACCAATTGTTTAAATAGTAGCCTTGGTACATCTCAAAAGTTGGAGAAAGGATATCAGTTGTGCTTTGAGCACATCATGAGATACTATGCCCTTTGTGAACTCGAATAATTTGATTTATTTTAGAATGGTGAAAAAACTTTTAAAGATATATTTAGAAATACCATTTCCTAATGCAAAATATTTTAGCAGAAAGGATGCAGGTAGTGACAAAGGCACCCTAAATACCGATTAAGCCCATTATATTAGTAATGCTAGGAATACTAATAGATATACCATATAAAACACATACTTATTTATGAGTTTCATCTCTTGACTTGAAACTAACATAATATAATATCTAATTAGTATATTTATTGATAGATTTGATAGTGTATACGGAGGCTCTTTCAAATTTCATTACCTATAATGCCATATAGGGTTGTTTGGTGTAGTTTATTTAAGTTGCTTAGTTTTTCTTTTCTTTTTTATTTTGAGAATTTGTGTTAGACTATTTGATGCAATTTTTATGTATAACTTATGTAAGAGGTAAAAACTTGAAGTATGAAATTTAAATCTCCTGCTCAAATCTTAAAGGCAGGAAGAATACGAAGAGTCCAAATTACGAAACTCTCGAACAAATATGTCTTTCTCAGGAAAACAAATACTTGAACTCAAAACGATTCAAAGTGATGAACCCAGAGATTCTTTACTGTTACATATAGTATATATATTCTGTATACCACACTTAGTTATTACCATACTATGTATTACCATAGTTAGTGTCTTATTCTCCTATATAAAGGAGCCTTGCATTTATTAATTATTCATTGAATATAATACAGATTTTCTCTTTTTCTCTATTTCACTTTCTCTCTCTTTTTCTAATATCATAACATGGTATCAGAGTTAGGGTTTTCCCTTTAGTCTCTTCATGCTGCTTCTATCACCATTAAACCATCATTGGCCTATCAACACCATGACCATATTGTTTTCCTATATTCTCTTTTTGGTTTGAAATTTTTTTCATACCAGAGTCTTCCCTACCTCCATACAAATCTAACCAGATCAACCGCATCCCCAAATACCACTGGACACGCTCTTATGCACCTTCAAACTATCTGCGTGTGAAGCTTGTTCCTTGTACATGTATTCATGCACTCGCATGCATTGTTTGTGTTTTTTTTTCATGCACTTGCGTGCCTTCTCACTCGTCTTAGCCATTGTTCTGTTGTCATGGTTTACACAGCTTCTGTGTTAGCTATTGTTAAGGTGCTAGCCAATTCAGCTTCTGCATCAGCCGACACTGTTCATCGGCTTTTACTTGGCTTGCCTTAACCGTATGCTGCCATATCGACTTTGCTAGTTCTCCTTACTGATGTCAGCCCTACTGCTTCGTCCAATCCTAGCGTGCTGCTGACATCAGCCCCCTAGTGTTCAAAACTTTGACTAGTCGGTTCATAACTTTAACTAGTCGGTTCACCACTATTTCTATCAATTCTTCTCTGTTTCAGACAGGTTCTTAGCTATTTTTGACCTCCTAAACTTGCTAATGTGCTCTATTTTTTCCATATCCGATTCTACAAGGTATCTTCGTCTTATTTTATCATTACTCGTGCATCATGGATTGCTCTTACAACATTCACTCCATCTCTGTTATCCTTGATGGGCCCAACTATGTTCTTTGGGGTCAAGCTCTCTCTGGTTTCATTAAAGGGAAGCGTCTTTGGCGTATTGTCACCGGTGCTCTTTCCAAACCCATGCAAGAAGAAAAGAAGATTGCCAAGGCTTTCGATTAAAGTCTTGATGAATGGGAGGGTAAGAATTATCAGATTATCACATGGTTCCAGGCTACTTCAGTTCCTTCCATTAGCCTAATGACCAAATGCTTCTCCCGCTAAGGCCATTTGGGATTTTTTGAATGAGCATTATCAGATAATTGGTTATACTCACTAGTATCAACTGTTGTAGACTCTTCATCACATGCACCAGGAACTCGATCAGTCCATCAACAATTTCTTATCGCAGATGTCATCTATCTGGGACCAACTTGCTCTTTCTGAACCCACATGCGCACATTTTGATGATGCACAGTTGTTCATTGTTCATAGGAATCATTAGAGGCTTATGTAGTTTCTCATGGCTCTTCATATCACCTTTGAGTATGTGTAGGCTTCTCTATTACATCGCCTACCCTTACTTACTTTGGAATTGGCCATTTCAAAACTTTTGTTGAAAGAAACTCATTTTGGCACTCTTACCATTCCAAAAGTAGATTATGTTTTGGCTACTCTATCTTCACAATTATCTCATGGTTCCTCACAGTCTTCTAGCTCATATGTTTATTGCCATAATCGTAGTCTAGCCCCCAATCATTCTTTTGTTCAGTGTTAGGTTTGTGAATGCCTGACTTGTCACAAGACTGCTCTAGGCCATTTTCAAAGCAATTGTACTTGAGCTACTTCTCCTTCTTTCTCCAAGAAAGGGTCTTCACATTTTGGGTATCAGTCTAAATCTTCTCATGGTTCTCGCTCTACTTGTAACGCCCTAAAATAATAACAACAACTCACTTCCTAATATTCAATAGAAAAATATAAACTTTCTAAATATTAACCTTTCATTTATATTCATTTACTGTACAAAAGATGACATATGCAAGTATACATTCATAACTCCTAGATCTTGAATCTATAGCATATGTCATATATGAGTGAACTAGAAATAAAAGGTAATACTGATAAGTTTATGCCCTAA